TGGGTTTAAAACTAAAAATAACATTTAAAAGATACATGAGGAATCACCTTCTCAAGCTTTCCAAGGACCACTGTACTTGCTAAGCCAGATGGTTACAAACACAGGTCTCATAAACTGGCCTTGTTACTGAAAAGCACAGTTGAAAAAGTTATGCAAGTAAGTCATTGTGTCTGCATTAATGATTACTGTGGAACTGTATGACTCCACATCAAGTAGGCCATATACAATTTGGTCAAAAAGATTAGCTGGCATGTCCAGACCTTACCAAGTGGAGTGTAACATGAGCTCACATGTATTTATTAATACCCATTTTAAGAAAACTTCAACTCCCCCATTCTGCTTAACTCCAGGAATTCCAGCGTCTTGACAAATTCTTCTTGTCACTATTGGAAATCAGAATGTCACCCCAGTTGTCTGCTGCATCAGCCGCAGGTCTGTCTCCTCACAATCCATGCTCTCTATGCACAGGCTGCCCACTGCTCTGCTGCAAACACCCCCTGCAATTCCTGGATTCCATCTCCCTCCAGCTACTACTGCCCATTCCTGTTCTGCTTCTCCCCCAGCAAAGGCAGAGCCTTCTTTTAATCGTCTGATGTCAGTGCTCAGCCTAACTGCAATCTTTTTGCAAAGACTGCTCTTCAGAGAAGTTCAGGAAAAATGGAAGGGGGAATTGTGCTACCAAGGATACCCCAAAGCTGTGATGGATGTGGCTACTTGCAACCCAGATGCACCTCCAAGCCTCTCATAATAAGTGCTCTTCAGACTGGGCTTCTTGTACCTGGGGCAGATGACCATTTCCCAGAGGTCCAAGAATAAGGACCATTATAATGACATCCATTTCAGATCCTCAACTTCCATGTGCATTCTTTCCCAAAACGAGTCTCTTAGCAACTTAGGCTACTTCTTTCTACCTTCTCCTTTAATAACTGCCCTTCTACTAGATAAAAACAAACTCACTTCTCACCCATACATTTACATGGTACAAAAGAAACCATTTTCCATGTGTTTCTCATGTGTCTGCAGGTCTTGAGAGAAGGCACTAAAAGCTCTTAGTTCTAGACGATCTTTCAAGGATGTTTATATCATTGCAAGCATCCTTGGAACAAAGTGGCTCCCTCTATCTGGAGCAAAGAGCTGTTTATTGCTGACTGTTATGGATTGAATTAAGTCCTCCACCCTCCACCCCAAAGATGTTGAAGTCCTAGTCCCCAGAACCTTAGGATGTGACTTTATTTGGAAATAGGGTCAGTGCAGATGTACTAAGTTAATATGAGGTCATATTGGAGTAGGGGAGGCCTGGTGTCTTTATAAGAAGACAGCCATGTGAAGTCAGAGACACTCAGAGAGGATGCCATGTGCTGGCATAGGCAGAGACTAGAGTTATGCAACTGTAAGTCAAGGAACACCAACACTTGCCATTAAAGCACCATAAGCTGGGAAGGGAAGGAAAAATTCCCCTACAGGTGTCAGAAGGAAGATGGCCCTGCCAACACCCTGATTCATACTTGTGGCCTACAGACCTGAAAGACAGTAACATTTCTGTTGTTTTGAGCTACCCAAATTGTGGTAGTTTATTATGGCAGCCCTAAGAAACTTGCTGTCCAGAATAATAATGTCTCCCACAGGCAAATGGAAGGCATGCTTACTCACCCTTATAAAACATTTGGGTGCCCTAAGATCATAATTCCTTTCCTGAAATGCAACCTATTGTATGAGCAGGCATCCACCTGGGCCCACCCACATTGGCCCTGAGGGACTTGAGGCTCAGGGAACCAGTGCAAAAATAGTGATATTCGGGTGTTACTGCTGTTATTACTATCTTGTGTCCTCTAACAACATACATGAAACTGTGGCAGGCTAATTTGTAAAATCTCAAACCCTTCACAGTTCTTAACATGAGGCATTGCTGCAGGATATAAAAATCTCTGCCCACCAAACATTTAGACAATTTCTTTGATCAAGTCACCATAAACACTGTACCTATTCATTTCATTGAAAGATGTATTTCAAATAAAATTTATAATATATATGCCATTTGATTATTAAGCTCTTAAAGAGTTTTATGGAACAGAAGGAACAGTTAGCATATATAGTATAAATATTAATTTATGTATTATGTTGTTATATTTAATGCTGAGAAGTATTTAAAAGGGTGATCAATAAGACTTAAGAAAAAAATTCATATTAGGATAAAGTTCCATGGAGAAGTAGAATAGAGTTCAAGGAACAAGAGGAATGATAAAATATTTCCAATTGTTACAAATCTTAAGATAATTTTAAATACTGAAAATGGTGGCTATCAAGTCTCTATTGTACCAAAATTTCACTGGATACACTTAAAAGAACAACTAACATTTGAATTTAAAATGTCAATATTTATAATACATTTATATATTTATGTATAAAATGTATCTTTTGAAATTACTTAAATATAATGATAATGATCTCATATTTTAAAAAGAAAATCCATTAAGGTATCATGATTTTTCCAAAATTGGTAGAGAGGTATGCAAGTAAAACAAATTTGAAGAGTATTCATTGCCTTTCTATTTACAGTTCTCTGAGCTCCTGGCCTGTCCAGAGCTCACCTCATGTCCAGCACCAACCAAGCAGGCCCGTTTGTCCTGGTTGACCGTTGTATCACCACCCTTAGCATAGTTGATGTCAAATGAATGTTGAATACCAGAAAGTGTCATTCATATACTCTATCTGCTTCTAATTTGGGGACTTCTCTAACACGGGGCTGGGTGACTAAGACCAAGAACAAGAGGTCAAGGGGTGTCCCACACGGCCATATCTTGTCAGATGAAAAATAAAATAAGTCTAGGCCTAATCTAAAGCTTGATCAGCTAAGTCACTATAAACCTCAGATCGAATGATTTTCAAATTTAACTGGATTCTGAATTTCTCTAGTTTTTGATATCAGCAAAAGCAGAATTCGCCCCCCTAGGGACAAAGTTACCAAGGTCCCAATGACCATCTTTCTCTACTAGATCAGTGTCAAGGGCGACCCTACATTTTCCTGTCACTGCCACTGCACGTCTAATTGCATGTCTAAGCGATCCTCTTTTAGAGTGCACCCCAAAGCAGTTGTCTCTCATGACCCTCCCTGAAGTAAGCCATTACTCACATTCCTATTCCCAGGTTCCGACATTAGGTAGGGGGCTATCAACATGGAAACCTGTTTGTGTCTCTCTGTTTTCTGCATTGCTATCTGACGCATACCACATGGTTTTAAATTTTAAGTATCTCAGAAACAGACTTTATTATCAAAACCAGGTTGGCCCTAGCTGGTTTGGCTCAGTAAATAGAGTGTTGGCCTGCGGGCTGAAGGGTCCCAGGTTCGATTCCAGCCAAGGGCACATGCCCGGGTTACGGGCTCAATCCCCCCCAGTAGGGGACGTGCAGGAGGCAGCCAGTCAATGATTCTCTCATCATTTATGTTTCTATCTCCCTCTCCCTTCCTCTCTGAAATCAAATAAAAAACGTATTAAAAAAACAAAACACCAGGTTGATAAATATGCAGACAATTCAAAGTACTTGCATTAATGAAACCTTACAGATTTACACAATATCAAGGGACATCTCCAAAGGCAGAAGTGCACATCAAGCCTAGTTCTTCTGATTCATTTCCTCTGGAAAAGCAGCTTAGAATTATTCAGGCAAAGGGCCATGAAATAACTGCATTGCTAACAGAAACCTGGTAGTAAAAGTAGAGGATGAATTGCTAAACTCTACCTACAGGGCTTCCTCTGGAGTCACGTGGCATGTTTTTCCTTTCTCAGATAAGAAAAAAAATCTATTTTGTTAAACGTTTACTTAAAGGGAAAACAAAATCGGAAGGTAATGTGATGTTTTTATACAGATGAATTACAGCAAATAGGCTAAGAATGCTCTTCTGCTTAATACATATAGCCCTGCGTGGCTGTAGTTGGCTAAAAGTCTTGGGTGCTCATGAAGTGGATGAGCTTACTTGTGGCAATATAGAAGAACTTCCCCTCCATGTATTCCTGCTGCTGACTGAAAAAGATTAACTAGTTGTAAAAACATCAAAATAAATGCTTTCAGATGCTGCTTTCCAAAACTGGGTCAGAGACCACGGGAGTATGTCCTAGCTCCCTGGGGCATGGGAAGGAGGTGACCAACGTGAAATTGGTGAGGAAGATATTAGAAACTAAGTGAGGGAGGAAGGAAAGGGAGGGAAGGGAGAAGAGGAGGGGGAAAGTGGAGGAAAATAGTCAATAGTAAGAGGAAATTCACCACGAAGAAGAAATAAGGGAAGGTCGTAATATTTACATCGTATTTTTTCCCCATTTACAAGGGGGTGAGGGGAAATGGCTGGTTTATTGCAAATTTAAGGTGAAATCTAAGAGGCGGAAATGCTCATAAATTCATATACATTAAAAAAACTCCCTGATGTCTCTGGAAGGTGCTAAGGTAACTAACTCATTATTTCTTAAACCGGCATAAGAATCAAGCATTTATCCAGCCACTCCCATATGAAATGTTCTTCAAGGTAACCAAATAGAGGTAAGTTTCTCCATTTCACCATTTTGATCTTGGTAATGCCAGATTATTCGCTGCCTCCTAAGAAACTGCACAACACTGATACTATAAAACTAAACCAAACCTGATCAGACCTCTTGCTCTAACTCCAAATATGAAGGGGGAGGGGAGTAGAAATATATGTTAAATGATGGTTTGAGAATACCATCAGCAAAATCCTGACTGTAAAAAAAAACCCAAAAAACTACAGAAACAGTGAACTAAACACTTCAATCAAAAGGCAAAGACTGTCATACTGGAGAGCACAGAGTTGGTTACTGCTCTTTTTAATCAGTCTTCTTTCTTTAGCTCTTACTACAGACACTTTAAAAATAAAGATACAAATAGGTATGTGAGAGGATGGAAAAAACATACCATGCAAACACACCATGCAAACAGCAAGCACAGGCAAGCTGGAATGATCATAAAAAAATGGACTTCAAAGCAAAGAGTAGTAATGGAGATAAAGCAGCAAATTTTATAATAAGTGGTTTATACATGAGAAAGACAGAAAAATTAAAAATGTGTACCAACCTAATAAAAGGGCTTCAAAATACAAAAACTGACAGACAGAAAGGAAAAATTCACAATCACAGCTGGAGACTTTAACACAAAAACAAAACAGTTTGGATATAGAAGGACTGAGTGATGCTATCCACCAACCAAAAAAACTTAGGAACAAAGAACCACGAAGATTCTAAATTAAGAAGAGTGGGCGGGTGGCTTAGGCACTTATCTGCCGCCTCTTCTACACTAGTTAAGTGCTGTTCAAACTTAGGACTAGCACAGGTTTGTCACAGACCTGAAGAGAAAAATGAGGACAGGAGAGGCCTTGAGTTTAAGGAAAGAGCGGTCCATCTTTTATTGATACAACTTTCAAACCCAAGTGTGTTTTCTGAGCCTTTTTCACACTCCATGATCTCATCCCATTCTTACATAGTCTTTGAAAAAAAGCCCACATTTCCTTATCCCCATTTTACAGATAAGGAAGTCAAGCTGACTTGCCAAAGAAACAAAACTGCATTTTTGCTGCTAGATCTCAGGGTGGACACAGTATTTTAAACTTCACCTGAGTGACTCCCCTGGGAGTGCAGTGAATTACCAACTCTTTTCTTTCTTGAAAGTAAATTTTCTCCAATATGTCCAAATGTGCAAAAGTGTTAGGTAAAGGATTTTGGTTCCTCTGTTAAGAATTAGGCTCTATTTTCACACACTCCCTAAAAGACACAGTCAGGTACCAGGCTGGACCTAAGAGAAGACAGTGGTAAACATTCACCCTGTGTTCAAACAGCATCCTAACACGCAACACTCCTTGATGGACTCACAAACTCAGTGTTGACCACACCCTTGGTTACCCATAAGAATCGATCAAGTTGTGGTTTAGAAACAAATTTCAAAATAAGCAAGTCTGTGGGAAATACGCAGGTTTACTCTTCCAATTAGCAAAACATATACTTTACAGATCACTTCATTACTGAATTAACAGGACAAATCTCAGAGTAAAGTGACTTTGTTTCTTGGCCGGAACCAAAATATGTTTAAAAATAAATATACAATTCAAATATGTTCTAGGCGAGTATTTAAGTACTGTATATATGTTTATTTACACTCTTCTCCATGTTATAATGAAGCATATTTTCTTTAAGGCTAATGGTGGTTTTATCTAGGAAAGAAAAGAATACATGCATGCCAAGGAATGTTTTTCAGCTTCTTAGCAAAGCACAAAAGGGAGGAAAAATGATTTAACTTTTTAGTTCCAATTGTTTTCAATGTTTTATGTAAGGTCAAAGTTGTACAGTCTGTTCAGATTTTTATAGAACCTGAGTGAATAAAATGCAGAGGTAAATCACTACTTTCTATTTAAAGCAAACTGGCTTTTTACAAATCATATGACTTTTATTTTTTTTAAAGGGAAAAAGAAAAGAAAGCACATGTTCTCCCCAGAAAATAGGTCAGTGGGTTCTCCCTCCAAGTAGTCCAGACTCAGTGGGCCTCCTTTGGACTTGGAGGGGCTCCTCTGATCTCGGCCAATGCTGCCGGCTTGTCCGCTGTGGTCGCTCTGAGCAATCATGAGAAACAGGACTGACTGGACTATTACATGACACACAAGCTTCGAAGGAAATATCAAATAATAACAATTATTCTTTGTGGCTTATTTTTATTCTGAATCAATAAGCTAGAGGTGAAGGTCTCCACAGTCCCATTATGCATTTTTCCTCCTGAACACATACTGAAGAAAAGGGTTAAGGCAGCATGTGTTAAGATGTAGCACTACTTCTAAAAATATTTGGAGATAGACACGAATCCCAAGTTCAGATGTGCTTAAGTACTGAGTTGATTACACAAGTATGAAGAGGTCCTTTGAACGCACAATTGATTTTTAACAAGTGCAGCGATTCCATTTTGATTTTATGAAAGTAGGCTGAGTCACATGAACGTTTAAGAGTGGCTGAAAAACCAAGACTGCATGCTTTTTCAGCCTAAAAATAACCAAGGGTAGAGCCAAATATGAACATACATTTCAGCAGAAAGGTGATAAACAGAAAGCCAAGCAGATACTATGTGAAAGTATCCCACATAACGGCTTATGCTGACTTTAAAATAGAGTGAAACATTCAAACGTTATAAGGGTAAAAACAAATGCAGTTAGGTGTGTAGATCACCCCAAAAGAACCCATGGCTATTAAAGTTGCCATAGGATCTTCTGAACTGGTAAGATCTGATGTTATCCTACTATTCTGATTTACCTTCAACTTTAATAACTGGCGGACATTTCTCACCAAGACTCTAATTTTGGCATCAAAAATATTCATTTGTAGATCAGAATCATAAAACTAGTAACTTCATGTTAACTGGCTAGTTTATGAGATAGGAAACATATAATCCTTAATTCTAAAATAGCCATTTAATTTCTTATCCCAATTACTCATCTGAGTGGGAGGGGAAAGGAGAGGGCGTTTGGAATGGCATTAGAACACAATGTTTGGAAAACAAAACGTCTGGAAAGAAACATCTGGAAAGAAACATCAAAGGCTAATAAATATTCAGTCTACATAAAATACAGGAAAACAGGAGAAAATACTGAGAGTACTTTGCTGTACCATGGAGATATACTGTAGCCTAAGATTACTCTTTGGATACTTTACTTAATTGGCCTTAATTGCATATAAAGTGTGTGACACAATTAGGGAGGATTTGTCTTTAATTTAGCTCTGAAAGAAGCATGGATGGATCGAAACCCTAATCACAGACCATTGTAGATCATTGGAGCAATTAAGAACACAATTTCTTCTCTTGAAAACCTTTCGCACAGATAACCTGCTAACCTTTGGATCCAGGTTTCAGACTTGCAAAAACCTTGGGGTTCTTAAGGGCAAGTGAGAGCTCATTGAGGAAGGAAATAAAGTGGGAGTCTCTCTCAGATTTCTTTGACTCAAAAATGACGACAATGGTAAAGTGGGGTTCTGGGCGGGTTAGGAAGTAGGTGCTCTGAACTTTGTCATCGTAGAAGTGAACCACTTTCTCCAAGCTGTTCAGGTCGGAGGTGCGGTCCGTCATGATCATGATGACGTTGGGCCAGTGCATGACAGGCCTGTCGCTGGGCAGAGACACCACGGCTGGATACTGGTCCACACCCTTGGGGGCCTCCCTGTAGGAATGGGGGTGGTGATAGCCGTGACCCTGAAAGCTCTCAGACCCTCGGTTATCAAAGATTAAAGACACGTTGGCAGCATCGTACTTCCTGATGAAGCTGGAAATCTTTCCAAACAGGTCTGGGTTGGCTTTTGCAGTCAACGTTTTCATTTCTGAAGCAGTCGTTTGTCGGCTCAGTGCCTCATGAAAGTAGAAACTGAATTTGGCAAGAAGCATGTTTTTGAGTTTCATCAGCCAAAGGAAAAGGTGTGGGGGCTGAACGGCCTTCTGAGACTGCCCTCCAAACAGATGTTTCTTGGTCTCCCGCTGCTTTTCAAAGATCTGGCCCCAGGTCTGCAGCTTGGTGTGAGCGCTGTGCAAGTTAACCAGAGACGGCAGGAACTTCCACTCCGAGACCTGAGCCTGGGCTTTCAGGAGATGACTCAGGACATCGACTTCCAGCTGGAAACTGCTTTCCAGAGGGCTGAGGATTGGGTGGTGAAATCTGAAGGGGGAAGGGAAATTAATAGAAATAAGTGGAAATATTACTCCATGTTGACATTTTCTGCCCTAAAAAAGAAATGTGGTCAGATAAATAATATTACATTTGGGGGCAGGGGACGGAAAAATGGAAGGATCCCATGTTCAATTATTTAAAAAATTCATTCTGGCCCTTGCTGGTGTGGCTCAGTGGGTTGAGCATCATCCCATGCACTGAGAGGTCACCAGTTTGATTCCCTGTGGGGCACATGCCTGGGTTGCAGGTTCAGTGCCCAGTAGGAGGTGTGCAGGAGCCAGCTGACTGCTGTTTCTCCTTCCTTCTCCCTTCCTCTCTCTCTAAAAAGTCAATAAAAACATGTTTTTAAAAAACTCATTCTGACATAACTTCACCATTTCAGAATTATGTCATCATCATATTCTCCTATGGCAATAGCCTGATGTTTTTTTAAAAAAATGATAGTAGTAGCTACCTTCTTTTCAAATAAATGAGAGTAGTAGCTACCTTCTTTCAAATACAGGGAAATTAAATTAGCTATCATTCTCAACTTATTTTATTTATTCTGGTAATTGTATAACTAACATTATCATCAAAACAAGGCATCTTCCTTTCAGGATGTGGTCCTAAAGAGGTGCAAGTAATGAAAAGGTCACTAAAACATCTCTTGACTGTGTACATAATATGCTAAACTTACTTAATGTTCACAGTAACTCCATAAGTATTATTAAACCTGTTTTTCAGATAAGAGTATAGACTATAAACCTATTCCTGAAACACAGTATATAATAAAAAAAAGTTTATTAAAGGAATAGAACATTTATCAGAAAGCCCTCATTCAATCCTAGTTCCCAATTCCCTTTATATTTAATCACAGTTAAAGATAAATAAAATGTAGCTAAACAAAAAATATCTAACAGTTCAGTCATTTTCCATTTATCTAGGGTAGAATCTAAAATCCTTAAAAAGGCTTGAATAATCTGGTCCCTTATTAGCTTGAGCCACATTCCCAGTCTACTCACTAGAGGAATAGTGACATTAACTAAATAATTAGAAATGCAATATCATAAAGAAGGTCAAGGTAGTAGGTGATTTCATTTCTACTTGTTCTAGACAAAATGTTTAAAAAAATTTTTTTGACCATGATCTACAGTTAGAAGTACATTTTATATTGTGACTAAGTACACACCACACACATATACAAATAAAAGGTTTTTTGAAACCAGCTCTCCGACATCCCCCGAGGGGTCCTGCAAGAGGGCAGTTCTCGGGTAACACACCCCAGAATTGGGCTCCCTCCTCTCTGGTTCCGGGTGCATCACCTGAGAACCGCAGCTGCCAAGTCACTGCAGTGGGGCATCTCAACTCCTGCGTTGAGCATCTTCCCCCTGGTGGTCATTGTGTATCATAGCTACCAGTCAGATGGTCGAACAGTTGGGCGGTCACTTAGGTTTTTATATATATAGATATGTATATTTTTAATTGAATCACTATTCACTAAATTAATTTTATGACTCAAGAATTGCTACCTGTTGTTTGTAAAACATAGTCTACTTTACCTGTAGTAACAATGTTGAGGGGGAAGAGGATAGGATGTGAGAGTATCCTCCCTCCCAGCAGAGGGGGAAAAGGGCAAGTGCAAAGACCCTAAGGTCAATGAGAGCGTGACCCTTTTTCATCAATACTTTTTTCTGTACTTCAGGTCTCCTCTTCAGAGTCACTTCCTTAGAAATGCCTTCTCTGTCTACACCCCCCCCCCCTCCTATTACATCCTCTAGTTTCTGAAAATCTGTCTTCCTCTTTAGTAACTCAATCATATAATTTATCAGATAAACTGGGACATATGGTTACCTTTGCTTTGAGCTCCTCTCTGAGGGGAAGTAAAACCTGCCTACTTTTTCATGCTTTTATCTACAACACGTGGTACATAGTAAAATCCAGTGAAAGTGCTAATTGTGTTAAGAACTGAACCCTAGTTTCTGTCCCATTGATTCTGCCTGTTGCTTATGATCTAAGTGAAGTTCTGTAACAATGAAATAGAATGGCTAAGGAGATCATCTCTGTATGGAATCTCCACTTAGAGCTTTCTTGCTCAGTTTGTTGTTGTTGTTGTTTTGTTTTTCTGAGAAGCGCCAAGGGAGGTTTAGTGTCTGCCGAGTCTGGTGCACCCCCCTTCTCAAGGTGCCTATATCAATCAAGCCCTTATATTCTTCCTGAAGATCCAAAGCATCTGAGAAAGTTGCAGGAATCTGCTTAGCAAGTGACCCATTTGAAAGATATGGACAGAATCGAGCATTTACTGAGCATATCCAGGCAACCCAGGAGATGATTTACAGGCTTGAGCCCATGGGATTTCACTGCTTCACTGTCAATGAGACAGAAGCCTCTTGCACAGCTCAGTTTTGGCCCCAGCTGAAAGGGAAAATGCTAGTTATCTTTTAAGCAATTAGGAAAAAAATTATCACAAGTATACCTAGGGTTTTAAAAAATGTATTTAAACACTAATTGACGGGATTATGGTTAAGAGAGCCATACTAGGTTGGACATTATAAGACAGGAACTGATTGCCATGTGATCAACAGGATGTAGTTATTCACACCACGACAACAACAACGTTTTGGTTTTTTTCTATTACTTGCATTTTACCCTCAAGATAGGGAAGCTAAAAACATGGATGGAGGAGCTATCTAATAATATACTCAAAGAATCAGAAAGATGAAACAGACCTCAAATCCTCTAGCTCAGGTGCTTAAGTAATTAACTAATTTGGACTATTCAAACATGACATGCTTCTGAATAAACATTAAGAAAGTCTAACACAGACACACAAAAATCTTTGAATTGTAAGAAAGGTTCCTATGCCCTTGGCCTAAAGGCTAAGGCCCCTTAACACTTAATGAGCATTAAGCATCACAAGATTCTATAATCGTGGATATCAAGAAAATTTACCAAGGAACTAGAAACACGGCAAAACTGCTAATAACAGAAAATGGCATGAGATTGGAGAAAATGCTACCACAAATAATACTCTGTTATTTTTCTACTTCCAGTTGGAAATCATCATTTATATCCCTAATGTTCTCCTTGAAAGAACACGAATTATCTTACAAATCTTCAGGAAAAATTCTGAACAAGTATAAATATATACTAAAAGTGCTTAAATCTCAACATTTATTAGGATGCATGTGAATGTTGAAGCTATTTTTCAGTTTTAAGAAGACCTAAAAATACATGTTAAAATTTATTCTGCCAAGACTTTGAGATTAGCATTATGATGTCTCATTTCCCCATTTCCATTCTGCTGTGTGCTTCATACCTATTCACAACCCACACTATAGGGCAGCAATTTGCAACTTTTTCATTTCATAGCACATATAAACTAATTATTAAAATTCTGTGGCACACCAAAAAAATACATATTTTTCCGATCTGACAAAAAACAACAACAACAGGTATAATTTGACTTATTCACACCAGATGGCTGTTGTGATTTTTTAAAATTTGACAAGCTAAGAGAAAAGAGATCAGTGCCCCTGACTAAACAGCTAGGTATTGCATGTTTTAAAAGTTCTTGCAGCATACTGGTAGAAAATTGCTGCTATAGGGGAATCTGTTAAATTGTTATAATCCAAAAATATACATCTCAGCTATGGCAACAAGTTTAAATGAGCCTGAATACAGAATAAATTGACAACTATTTGCATAGAACATCTGCTTTTTAAAAAGCCCTGGCCAGGTACTCAGTTGGTTAGAGCATAGTCCCAATAAGCCAGGATTGTAGGTTCGATCCCCAGTCAGGACTCATACCAGAATCAACCAATGAATACATAAATAAGTGGAACAACAATCTCTCTCTCAATCTCTCTCTCTCTCTCTCTCTCTCTCTCTCTCTCTCTCTCTCTCTCTCCCCCCTCCCCCTCCTGCCCCCTCAAATCAATTTTTTAAAAGGCCAGAAAAAGAGAGAGTGTACATGCACAAATGCATTCCTTCCTCTGTAAATCCCTATCAAGGAGTTCCTTCCAAAACAAGCCATGCATGTGAGGAGTCAGAAGCCTGATTAAAAATAAATCTGTAGCACAACAATGTGAATGTACTAAGTGCCACAAAACTGCACATTTAGAAATGGTTAAGATGCTAAATTTTGTTACGTATATTTTACCACAATAAAAATATTTTACCCTTGACTAGAATTGAACCTAGGACCCTTCAATCCGCAAGCCAATGCTCTATCCACTGAGCCAAACCAGCTAGGGCAATCTGTCTTTTGTTAAAGGGACCCCACCTGAGAACTTAGAAGGATAGAGAAAAAAGATATTTTGCCTCCTCTACAAATTCAAGGAAATTCTAAGCAAAATAAATAATATGAACCAAAGTAGGAAATGGGGAAAGATTTCTCTAAAGCTTCTTCCTCTTTACTAAGAGTTTGGTTGCAATTTGAGGCATTTGATGGGCCTTAGATGAATTTGAAAAGGTAGGCTGGGCAAGATCACAAAAGGCCTTCAGTCTGCACTGTTAACATTAGGCATGTCAAGTGTCTAGAGTAGAAGGCATCTCACAGAAACTGCACTCTTATTGGTTTTGCTTAGGAAATTTTCGGTGAGGGATAATTAACCCTGTTAAACTATACACACAACTGTTTCATTAAGTCTTATCGTCCATCACAAATCTCTTTCTGAAGAAAATAAGGGCATAAAGACTAAATAAATCACAGTTCTGCCTTTGGTGAGAATTCTGCCATTTGAAGCTTTCAGATAAAAAATGCAAACAAAAGTTTTATGAAACTAAAAAAAAGTTCTTTAAATTCTAGTTATAAAATTCTAGCTACTGAATGGTGTGTTATTCCCATACCAGAGGGATTTTTTTTTTTTAATTTCTTTATTGGTTAAGGTATTACAAATGTGTCCTCATCCCCCCATTAACCCCCAACTTCCCCTCCCCCACCAACTCATGTTCTCATCCCCCTGTTGTCCATGTCCATTGGTCTGGCTTATATGCATGCATACAAGTCC